ATGTTTTCAATCTCTAAATACAGTGTGGGTTTACTGAATTATGATCACGATCATTTGATTAGCATACTTAAAAAAAGCCCAAGGTTCTGTGATCTTAAGTAGATGGCTCCAAAGATGGCTGCAATAATAATATGTTCTTTTGTAAGGTGACCTTGCTACACCCCATCAAAAGAGAGTCTATTTCCTCTCCCTTTGAAACTGAATTAGCCCTTCGTTTTGATTTAGAGACTATAACAGAAGCAATGTCATGTAGCTTTTAACAGTAGGTTTTACAAAATCTGTAGCTTTACTTCTTGGGATGCCCCTTCTTGGAACCCAGCCACCATGTTGTAAGGAAGTTCAAGCAACCATGCTGGGAGCCCAGGTGGAGGAAGACTGAGCCCCCTGCCAAAAGCTCTAGTCGAGTTCTCAGCCAGTAGCCAGCACCAACTGCCAACCACATGTGTAAGGCTATTTTAGATCTTTCAGCCATGCCAGTGCCCAGATAATACCACACACTGGTCAGCACACTGAAATTAAAAAAAAAAAAAAAAATTGTGTTGCTTCAAGCTGCTAAATTTGGGGAAGTTTTGTTAGGAGGCAACTTCTCCCCATTACACACAGAGTTTGATATTAGAGCAGAACCCCATGCCTAAAATATATCAAGCTAGTCCTCCATCCATCCGTTCCTTCATTCATTCAAATAAACATTTATTAAACATCTACTATGCTAAATTCTGAAGATACAAAGGAGACCAAATGCAGACCTGTCTCTGCTTATTATCTGGATGAGGGGACAGATATTAACAGAGAAATCTAATTATTGAGAACTGGCAAAATGCATTCTGGAATGAGGTAGGTGGTTAAGGAACTGATGTCATCAGAGAGATGAGAAAAGTAAGTGAAGACTAGGGGTGCCTGGCAGGCTCAGTTGATGGAGCATGCAACTCTTGATCTCGGAGTTGTGAGTTCGAGCCCCACCTTGAGCGTAGAGATTACTTAAAAATAAAAAATCTTTAAAAAAAAAATAAAGATGAAACTTAGGTCTCAAGGAAGATTACAGGTTAAGTAGGCAGAAGAGAGAACAAGAGCCCTCCACACAGAAGGTTCAGCATATCCAAAGAGCCTATGGCAGAAGGAAAGATGGTGTGTTCAAGTTCTACATCCAAAGCTAAAAGATCATGGTTCAAGATGAGGCTGGAAACGAGTAGAAGTCAGGCTTTGTAAGACTTGCAGTCCTCATAAGGGCAGCCTTAACAAGGAGAGGTCAACAGACCAATCATACTCTGATCAAATTTTCTCTCTGAACCCCCGTGGAGAGAAAAATGGGAGTAACCTGGAGGACTCCATCACACAAACTCTATGTGCAATGGCACCCAGAGTATTTTAATATTCAGTGCACACAGGCATTTTGCCCACACCCTCATTCCTTGCTACACTTCACTATATTATGTGTATATACCTATGTCTCCTTAAGTAGATTACAAAATCCTTTGGGTTCAGGAGCTCTGTCTCATTCATCTTTTCATTCCTCTTTTATAGTATCTAGCACAGTGCTGGGCACACAGCAAATGTTTATTAAGTGTTTCCTAAAGTTTTAAAACACAAATAAATAGGGGCCCCTCGGTGGCTCAGTCGGTTAAGCATCTGCCTTCGGCTCAGGTCAGGATCCTAGGGTCCTCTGGGATCGAGCCCCGAGTCCAGCTCCCTGCTCAGCGGGGGAGTCTGTTTCTCCCTCTGCCCCTGCTTGTGTGTGCGCATGCGCTCTCTCTCTCTCTCGCTCTCACTCACTCACTCTCTCAAATAAATAAAATCTTTTTTAATAAATAAATAAATAAATAAAACATTAATAAATCCACTCACAAATGTCTGTCAGAAGTGATCTCCTAGGAAAAAATTCTACAGGCTCATTTGCAAAGCCATTCCAATGACAGCAACATTCTTAAGAAAGTCTTGCTATGAAACATCATTCCTTTCCTGTTGTAGCAATTCTTGAGTTTCATCCTCAGTGAAGACGGACAACAGTCCATCACATTTCCAAAGAATGCCTCTGTGTACACTTTGAAGATCATTACTGGGTCACCCAGCTCTCTCTTCTTACAGTGGCAAAATACTTCATCTTCTCACCTTTCCTCAAAGAAACCATTTAGTTGTTCCCTGGATTCATTCCAAAATCTCCATCCCTCCTAGATTATGGAGGCCAGCAATCGAGGAGCCCACAAAACAAGGCCAAAGATGCCTGAAGGACTTTGTGAGCAGTCCACAGAGCAGAGGCAGGCTCTCTTTCTCAGTTTGCTTGTTTTCAGGCCAACTCACATGGGCACACAACACACACAAACACTAAAACTTTTTACCAGTTTAAAGAATAAACAGTTTTACTAGGTGAGTTTGCCAACTGTCCTCTGTTCTTCACCACCAGCCCTGTCTTACACATCTGATTTGACATATCATTTTTTTGTGGGAGGGAACACTTTCCCTCCCTAATTTTGTAAATAATATGACACCAGAAATGAGCAGCACTATTTTGCTGGCATTCCCACTATCTTTATCATGTGTGAAGGCACCACACAGACTATGAAATATCACCAAGAAATTCCATCCCTCTAATGTATCAAGAATTCAAAAACAATAAACCACTGGTCATTCTACAAATAATGAGGCTCTAATAACATAAGCAGCTGTTGTGCTTCTTAAAAAATATTTTTTTGGCACTCAGGTGAAAACTCTTCAATTTTACTTCAAAAAATACTGTTAAATTCCATTTGCAATAACTTTTCATCTCTTGTCAAAGAAACAAAAATCCCTCAGTTATTTTTATTGTAGCCATTATAGAAGTCTATATTATGCCATTTAAACAAGATCATGTGTAAGATACTTACTGAGCTGTAAGTGCTCACAAAAATTATGTATTATTTTTGCACAGAAAAAATAGGAAGATTGTGTATATAATGCAATTATACCTAACTCCTAAATTTAAATTAGACCATTTTATTAAATCAACAAATCCCAGTTTCAGAAAAACTAATGAAATATATTTGTTCTAAAAATGTGCATTGTTTGGGGTGCCTGGGTGGCTCAGTCAGTTAAGCCGGTTAAGCATCTGCCTTTGGATTGTCTGCCTTTGGATCGGGTCATGATCCCAGGGTCCTAGAATCGAGCCCCACATCTGAGCCCCACATCCGGCTCCCTGCTCAGGGAGGAGGCTGCATCTCCCTCTGCCTGCAGCTCCCTCTGCTTGTGCTCTCTCTCTCTATCAAATAAATAAAATCTTAAAAAATAAAAATCTGCATGATTTAAATTACTCCCAAAATTATGAGCATGCAATATTTTACATTTTTAAGACAATACATAGCAACACACTTAACAAGAACTTATAAATGGATTAATCTCAATCATTTATTGGAGTAAATTGAGGAAAGAATAAGAATATTAGAAAAATATAGATTGTTTTGTTTGTGGCTGGAGGAGTAAAGCATTAGTGAAGTGATAGTGTAGATGAGTTCAAAAGTTTTAGTCAAACAGTTCACAGAATACACTGCTGTATAATTAGTATTTCTAAGAATTTGCAACAAAAAAAACACTACCAACAATAGGCACCTACAAAATAAACATCAACAAGATCTAAGTCACATAAGTCAAAAATTTTTTAAAGGTGAAGAATGTCTTTGCTTTATCAAATACACAAATGACCCAAGCAAGCATTGCAAAGGAGATAGAATGCACTTTTAGAATGAATTCAGGATCTAAAATATATTTATTTTAATAATGCAAACGCTTGGTGTTCACTGAATTAAACAGTAGTAGTAATAATTTGTTTCCAGAAAATGAATATCTGCATAATAAGTATTATCTAAATATGTTTTATGAACCCTTTAGAAGAAGTCTGAGTCCAATTTTGAATCTAAAACCCATTTGTCGTGGACAATCTGTTTAAATTGATGATAATCACTAAGGAAACACACCGCAGCTGCCATCATTGGTTAAAAACACATTACACAATGTTCTGAGTGACCTAGAGGGAAAAGAACTTCCCAAGGTCATTCCAGCAACCCACAGCAGAGCCTGGAATAAAAGCGTCTTGGGGCGATGACCAAAGTATTCCCAAATCACCCGGAAAGCACACACCTCCACAGTTTCTGTTCCAAAGGAAGATCAAGGTGATTCACTTTTGCATGATCTCGCTAGCACCCAGCACCTATGTAGAGATGGTTTCATTTACAGCACATGGGCAGTACAAAAATTAAGGACCAATCTCCTATGTCAAGGTGAAAGAGATCTAAGCATTCAGTGTAACCGGCGATCTTTAGCACACAGAACACTCACTAGAACCACGCAGAAGGAAACAACCACGAAGAAAACAAACACTAAGTGTAGTACCACCCAGACCCCGGGACTGAGTGCCGGCCTTGTCTTATTTTGATTTGACCAGATCTGGGCAGTCCTTCCCTAGTTAAGCGAACCAAAGAATAGGTCGCAAGTGACACCAAACTTTCTGTTCGAAGTGTCTTTCATTTGACCAGAGCTTGCAGATCTCTCCCAAGACCTAGACGGAGAAGAGTGTTCGAAATAGGGCAAAACAGCAGAGACCACGAACTCTCAGCCAGATCAAACCATGTACCGGGCCCCAGGGGCTCTGGTTACCTAAAGTCAAGTACACGACTTGAAGACGTTTCTCCACACACAGAAAGCGCAACTAGAAATACTTTTCAGTCTTCAATTCAATATTCCTGCCCTAAGCCACGTCTCCACCAACTTGCGTCCGCACGCACGAACTTCCAGGGCGGCGCGGAGCCGCCTGGCCGCGAAGACAGCGCGCAGGCGGCTGCAGAAGAAGGATGCAGCGGGAGCGCCGGGCCCCGGCCGGAGAGAGGCGCGCATAGACGCGACCCGCCGCTCCGGCTCGTGGGGGCAGCGCTCGGCTCTCGGACCCCCGCGCCCCGCACCGGGCCTTCTCCCCAACTTGCCCATCACCGCCGCCCGCCCCCCCCCGGCCACGCCGCCTCCCCGAGTCCGCCTCCTACCTGTCTGAGGATGAAGCTGGTTGAAGTGGTGCTGCCATCGGATCTTTTCAACCTGCTCCTCCGGGTCGTGGTGCCTCGGGCCACCTGGACTCGACACACGGGGCCAGAGAGAAGCCGGTGAGGACCGAAGCGTGGAGCCGGGCGACCACCCCGGGCTAGAGTCCGCCTCCGGACCAGCTCCCGGGGGTCTCCCAGAGCCCGCAGCCCAGTCTCCTCCGCGGTCCCCACATACAGCCTCTACCCCCACCCACCCACCACAAGCCTCGACGGCTGAAAAGATGCCTGGAAAGAGCAGCCCGCGAGCACCCACCACATCCATTAACAAAGACTCTCGGGGTGCGGGGTCCGAGTGCCCGGCATCGGCTGGGGAAGGCTGCGGGCTCCAGAGCGGGAGCGCTGAGACCGACGAGGTGAGGAGGAGGAGGAGGTGGAGGAGGAGGAAGAGGAGGAGGAGACAGAGGAGGAGCTGGAGGAGAGAGGGACGCGGAGGAAGGGTGGGAGAGCGGCGCGGCCGACTGCCGGGACTGGGGGCCCCGCGTGGCCGACAGGAAGGCGGGGCGCGCTCGGGC